AGCGCAATTCCCCGGTCCGCCGAAATTCGTCCCGGTTGACCATAGTTCCAGGTGTCCCGAGAGTGGCCGGTCGCGGCTGGTCTCAGTGTACTCTTGACTTGCCAATGGCTGATAACCCCCGGTATTTGGTGTCTGGGCTGGAATTTTGAATCCATGAGTCTTACTTCGATCATGACTCTCGGGATCTACTCGAATGATAGGATTGTCGCTCAAGACGCTGAGATTGATGTCAACTCGAGCCTCGTACTTCTTCGTCGGGAGCGGCGGAGTTTCCAAGCTCGACTCTCCGCTTCAAGCGACTCTCCGCTTCTCCGCTCTCCGCATAGTGGTACAGAGACGGTGTCAAATCAGCGGCGAGTTTGATCATCAAAGGTTCCTTGTTCTTGTTAACAAGCATGCGGATGTCGCGGAATCTTTGATTCCAAAGGTCCCGGGACTGACCCGTTGCCACCCTGCTGGGGGAGATTGTTCTTGCGAGCTTCGCACAGATAGCGATCAAAGTCGAAAGCATCGTGCATCGCGGAGTGGCGTACTCTCTCTACCCAAAAGCTCGCTCTTGAGCTCTTTTTGAGCTGCCCGCAAGTTGTCGTTGTTGGCGAGGTAGATGAGCTCGCGGGCAAAATGTACACCACGTCGAAGGAAAAGATGAAGGCAATTCTCTCCACTGGGGTGGATATCTTTTATTGCCTTTTGCTGGTCATTCACCTTCTCCATACAGGCGCGCCATGAAAGATAAAAACCAGGTCTACGGGACTCTTGCCTTTAGAGTTTGTAGCAGTATGTACTTGCTGTTGTTGAGTGGATTGTAGATGAACTTCGGCCGGATGTCCCAGGCGATGGTTGCCATCTCAGTCCTGGCAACAAATGTTGCTGAATTGTGGCGACCATGAAGCTCGCGTTGCTTGGAAATTCAACACAAAATGTTGTCAGGAGCGTTCACTAGCATATTTTCAACCACGATCTTGCTGTTTGCACTTGCCTTGTCGTTGCAGGTATTGTTCATTGAGAGCGGATTCGGAAGGTGGTCTAAACCTCACAGACGTTCCTTCCACTTACATATCCCTTCTGAGGAATCGTGGGTTCTGCCCACTTCCTCCTCCTTCCATCTCTCCTTCCATCTTCATACACAGCAATCAACACCACTTTATTGGCCCTTCGTGTCAAGCGTGCGGTTGCACTGTTGACGTGACACCAATGTTGATCAGTGCTTGGAAGAACCCTGATTTGTACGTACATGTGAGTATCTAGGGATCAGTGGTAGGGTTCATCACAGGTCAGCTAGGCTACGCAGTCTACAGAAGAGACAGTTCCGAACGGGGAGCCAGCTCTGTTGCCCGTTGACTTAGATGACTGAGACTTACTGGCAGAATCATTATCAACGTTGAGCTGCCTACTTCCCACTGCGGAAGCTAGATGGAAGCTTTGAGAGCGCGTTACATCACGCAAACCTACGCAAGAAATCCACTGCGGAAAGACCTTCTCGGTAAGCCCTCAGCCCATAAGACCAATGGTCGCTGAGAAGACGGGAGTTCAGCACGCCATACGACCTCCTTTCGTCTGAATCTACTGCGGAAGAATTTCTCTAACAAGAATTCCTTCTGTTAGAAATCCACTGTGGCAGAATCACCTCGACAAGCCTTTGAGCGTTCCCTGTAGGCTTTCTTCAGCCGGACGTCGACGTCGTCACGGAAGGGTCACGTCGTCAAGCCCTCGGCCTTTGGTCCGTCACTTCGCTGGCCGTCAAAAGGCGGCGCTACAACACGCCCACTTCCACTCCCTTCCGCCAGAAGCTCGCCGCGGAAGGATCTCACCCTCCTACACCACCGCCGAGATCAACAAGGCACCGGAATCTTCAGCTTCCATCAGATCTCTTGTAGGGCAACTTTATGGGTTGAACGAAGGTCACGTACACTGCGGGCATCTTCCGTTTGCTATGTACTTACGGTCAGCCTAGATCTTTGACTATTCCTCCTCTCCTTCGGGGCTCTTCGATAAACGCAAATTACGGTAAGTGCCTCAGCAAAGAGAGAAGTGCTGGAGTTCTCATCAGTACGGCAGACGGACACTTCCACTTGCCCGCTTTTTCCGGTCACGTCGACGCACTTCCAATTCCTCCAGCTACTGCAAGGGCATCTCCTGTGGCCACTTCGACGGCACCTCCTCTAGCCACCTCGACGGCAAGTGTTCTCCGTAAGCCGCCTCAACGGCAAGGGCAAGGGTAAGAGCCACGAGCCACTCACCGGCATAGTCAAGACAGTAGCATGATACAGGCAGCAAGCTGCACAGCGAACGTGTACGCCTCTCGGGCTTCAGTTTGGAGGGAGATGCACGTGTTCGGGGGTGCAGTTAGATCGATAGAAAGCTCTTTCCATAATACGCTGGGTTTGTCGATTTCCGAGGACTTTGGGCAATGATACAAGTTGGATAACTATGGCAGTGGGACTTTTGATTTTCGGGTACGGCAGTCACTGTCCAAGTGCTACCAAAATGAAAAAAGGGCATTCGGGAGCGTCAACTACAGGGTACGAAAGAGGAGTCTCACCGCTGAATTCGACGACCGCACGAAGCCACGAACCCGCCTAGATCCGCTGCCCTTTCTGCCCAAAATTTGGACCCTGTAATTGTTGAAGTATTGACGGCGGATTCAGAGGGTGGTTGGGCCGGTGCAAAAGGTCCTTCCGCCCACTCGCACCTAATGGAGGATTCGTGGGCTCTGCCCACCAACTTCTTCTTTCCATGCCCTTACGCAGTTCAGTGCCACGATTATTGAGCTTTGTACCGGCCGAAAGGCTCGCCATGCTGACCAACAGATGCATTTATCCATCTGCTTGAAACCATTTTGCGTTGATGTGGCGACCTATGCTGACCCTTCTCTCCGTCGACCCAAAACTTTCTCCTACCATGCGCATTCGATTGGCGGCTCTCAGCTAGCTGAGAGCTACAAGGTAGGTAAGCCGGGACTGTAGACTCGTTTGCGGCAAAGACAATGAGTACTTGTGAGGTCATGACTGAACGTTGAGTGCGCTGGTGCAGCGCCTTTGTATTTCTGATTTGCGAACTGACCTTGGGTTTGTTTGCTAGAACAGATCTAAAGGTGTAGTCTAGAGCAGTCTGTTCGGGACATTATGAAATGGACATGCTGCGTACAGGGCTAACTCTCTACAAAGGAAGTCGTAAACGAAGAAAAAACAAAAGCAAAACCAGTAGAGACGGGGAGCGCCCGTCAATTACGGTGGCGTTACTATTTACTGACCGCATGGAGGCATCTGCAGGGATGTCTTCTAGCTGACCATGAGATGCGCAGGGGCTAGGTATTGACCTTGTATCTCAAGTCGATCTGTCTTACATGGGCAGCGTGTTGGGTCCAATGAAGGCCAGTGGAAAAGACGATTGTCGGTTCCCAACAGGTCATGCTCCCAAGGGGATGAGTAACATTACCGCCTACAATGAAAATCAGCGCGGTGACCACATGGGTCAGTGAGAAACCCCACGAACATGTCTATTCGATCAAAGTAACGCTATATGATGCCAGAAGTCAGACCAGACGCTGGGAAGAGATGGAGTGTGAGTCTTTCGATGGCGAAACTATTGTTTGCCAACCAATCTTGCTTAGGAGGTAATCAATGTGGCACCGAAGATGATCTCTCTGCTGATAGGGGAAGTTTGCGGTCGAATAGCCTGTGTATAGACACTGATGGTTCAAAGGAATTGATGGACTATAGGAACTGAAGATCGTTTTACAGAAACAACCGGGTCACGAATGTTGCCCAAGAGGCATCTGACACTTACATTGAGACACTGCACTGGGCGAGTGTTAATGGACAGATGCTAATTCGATTCGCGGCAGTAAGCCGCGGGTGTGCGTTATTCACCAATTCATATGGACGTTATCCAAGGTAGTGATACCGATCTCTCTCGATAAGGTAGCATGATTTCCGAATACCGTTGGGGCTTGGAGCCCATGTTGACTAGAATGGACCTCCGCAGGCCTAATACAATCCCTCCCGCCACTGGCGGCTACCATCTCCAGCATCTGTTTCCAAGCGAGCCTGTTAATCTTGAGTCAATGAGAGAGTAATCAGCTCAATTGTTGAGACAGCCCTGGAAGACACGTCCAACCTTGCGAGCACGCTGCACATCGATTTTTCTTGATTCATGTGCTTCTCGCGGGAGGCAATCCCGTGCATTATACCCAACAATATTTCCGATGGGAGCAACAGTGGCGCCATACCTTACATTACCGACTGGGGTGATTCAGCTGTGGTTGATCGAGCCTGCTACTACCATATGAAGCACAACCCGGGTCCCCCATTAACAGCGTCAGGCTAGGCATAATATATTTCTGCAACCAGCGACGTTGTATGTTGAAGTGATACGTGCTCACTTCCATCAAGGCCATCAAACTTTGTGGATGCCCTTTCGACAACAGAATTACTCAGATAACTACATGTACGCTTGACCGTAAGAGAAGCAAGACCACCAACCCACTGATTACCTATTCATAGTCTAGAAAGGACCTGCGTAGAATATACGGAGGACTCGGTTACTGGAACCTTTCCCAACCAAACGCCCAACAGTTCGGAGTGATCGTACTCGGTGATTCCGAGCGAATCAGGATTCGCTATGTGTGAGACAAGCAGCTTCTCAGCTGAGAGATAGACCGCCACTTCCACTCAAAGTGCAAAAATGAAATCAGGCTCTGTGTCATTTCCACACCTGACTCGGCTGACCGAAGCCTTGCTGCTGTCCCTTTCTAGGCAAACGGTTTCAGATGCCTGTTCAGCACCAGCCTACTGGCAGCCTGGCTTCTGCCTTACTCCCTTCTATCATTATTGGCGATGAAATTGTAGAGAGGTTGTTATGCATACCATGAACTATCGCAGTAAATAATAAGTACCCGAAGTCAAACATGTTCTCTGGCTTGGATTTATCCTCCAAATTCTCTTTTTTTGTTCGAAAGACTGAGATCATTCCAGCTTACCTACCTATCAAACATCAAAATGTCCAGTAGATTGCGTCGAATCATCGCCTGCGTTGATGGGACATGGTACAATGAAGATGGACAGGAAGGTGAGCGGCCCTGGAGACTTGAGCTACATATAGGAGAACTAAACACCCTCTGAGGACGCGGGAATGGCAACAATAGCAACGTGTTCCGTATCTATGCTTCCATCAAGAGTGGCAAGGGTACTGATGAGAAGGGAAATAAATTTGAGCAGGTACGGGTTTCCTAACTACATTTGCGTTTGCTGTAATCGCTGACAGATCGAAGATTGTCAAGTATTTTCCAGGGATTGGCGTCGATAAGAAACCGCTGGATAAATTCAATGATGGTGTGACTGGTGCTGGTTGCGCTCAGCAGATAGACGAGGTTTATTCCGTTCGTACTGTGTCTGCCATACTATCCTTGAGCTCAAGGCGTACTGATATATTCGTAGTTTTGCATCAGTGCAGTCATGTCCTCTGCCGACGAGGTTTACTTATTCGGATTCAGTCGTGGAGCCTGTACGTTAATCCTGACCCCCTGAGAGGATAAGACTAAAGAATTTCAAATAAAGATGTAGCACGCGCTGTGGCGGCACGAATTCAAAGATTTCCATTGAGAACCGTGCCCTCGGATCAGAAAGATCCTATTTGGAAGCAGATAAGGAACCTGGGCAAGAAGAAAAGCAGTAGTAGCCCTAACTCATCGGGGCGGGAGTACCATTTTGGGGAAGTCAATGCGTCTATGCTCTTCGGCTTGCTGAATCTACAACTGACAGTTGTCTCTAGATGTCAGCACACACGTGAGCCTCCGAAGATCAAGTTTCTAGGGCTTTTCGACACTGTCAAACAATTCAACTCTTCCGAGGAAGTCGATATTTCAGACGTTAGTCAAATCGAACAAGTTAGACACGCCCTTGCCCTCAACGAAGAGCGCAAGCACTTCCCAGTCCTTCGGATCGAGCCCGTCGACAATGCTGGGAATCGGGGGCAAGGAGGCTGCCATTTGCAAGCATGGTTCGTGGGCGCTCATGCTGATATGGGCGGAGGAGCAGTGCACGATGGGCTGTCCCTATACCCCCTCCAGTGGATGTTGATTGAAAGCAGATCGCAGGGCGTGGTACTCGAGCACGAACCTCCGCACCATCTTAAAGGTCTGATTCAGAATCCCCTGGATCTAGTATTTCCCAAGCTCCCACCTGGCCATCCTATTGGCGAGAACGTCTACGGTGTTGATAGAAACGCGGCATATGAGGGCCTCATTCCGTCTCAGGTCTGGACATATCAATACTCCAGCGGTGCTCAAATTAGCATGTTCGATCTCCGCAGTTCGCATAATCATGGAAATCTTCAGAAGGTCTCAGGAAGCAAGGTCCAAAAGCGCCATAGTCCGCAGAAGGCCACACACCGGGTCAGCATCAATAAGGGAATCTTCGGCCACCTGGCCAGAGGAAAGCGCGCTATATTCACTGGTAACACGTTTGGTGAGCTGCAAGGCTATAGTACCGGCTGTAAGTTATTTTGGCGACCAACGGTTTTTGATCTGATCTGAATCCTTTCTAGCGAAAGGCGGAACCGTCGTTCATCCGTCCGTCTACTTCTTGATGGACACATACGCTACCTTGGGTATAAAGCAGGCTTTGAAAGGGTTTCAAAATCACTTGGAGTCTTTCCGAGAAAAAGCCAGCTTGACCTGCGTTTCCCACACAGGGAGGACGACAGCGATGTTTGATCCCTGGATCCGAGATCATCTTCCGATACGTAGCACAAGATGCCGGATCCTGATCTGCGGCAATGCTGGAGTCGGAAAGTCAACTTTGCTTAATTGTGTCTTTGGCATAACAATGGTAAGAAATTGACAAGAAAAGCAACTGCGATTCGTACTTACGCCCTCTAGACCCAGGAACAAGCTAGTCGAAGGGGCATACACAACATCAACGATGCTTTCGAGACAGACGAACACCCTGGAATCATTATTCACGATTCTGAAGGTTTTCAGGCTGGGAATCTCAAAGAAGTGAGTGCGTTCAAGGAGTTTCTGGTCAAGCGATCAGGCCAGACACAAACCGAGGAGAACCTTCACGCGATATGGTATGTAACGTGTCATTAATACCCGCATGGAACTCCGTAGCATGGGCTTACCGTTCGATATGCCAGGCTTTGTGTGGATGCAGACACTGTTCGCCCTGTTCAGACCGCTCTGGCTTGTGTACTGAAAGAGGTAGTTTCCACTGCACCTTTGGTCCCTATCATCATCGTTGGCACGAAGAAAGATAAATTTCTCCTACCGTACAGGTACAATAGTGTGTCCAGACGCGGCACAAACGCCAGTTCGATACAATTTGATGAAACATCGCTACTAGCGGAGAGACAGGTTGTGTTCAGGGAATGTTTTGAAACGGATGAAGAGACAAGAGAACTTTGGCCCAAATTGGATGCGCAATTTGCATTCGTCTCCAAAGGTACGTGATTCCTGGTTTTAAGAGCACCTTGATCTCTTTCTAACCGCCTTCGCGTATTTACAGATGACGGAGACTCTATCAAAGGTCTGATTCGTATGACCATGGCTTCATTCAATGACATTGTCGTATCTGAGGCGATGTGCGCAGCTCAAGTCCAGGACATCGAAGCCAAGATTGAACAGGCTATTGAGAAGACACTGAAACTTCTCAGAACGGCTGTAACCGCCGCTTCCTTTCTAGGAGTAGGCACGATTGTCGCAACGCCGACTGTCTCGAGATGCCTTTGTCAAGAAATCGCGCATGGCTGCTTCGGCATACCGGAGGCAAGAGTGGCTGACATTGACACCATTCTCGGTAATGTCGTTTGGAAGAATCTGCTTCCGTTTATGACACAGGAAGTGGCTCAAACCACAGTCCTTTGGGGTGGCTGTGCCTGTCTAACTCTCTTCACGGTTATCGGTGGCCTCCCTCTTGCAATTGGGGCACCGCTACTGCAAGCGCCTCCCGCTGCTAGGATGCTGATCAAATGCGCTTGCGATTTGATTTTAATATTGGATCAAGCGTTCAGAGACGGTGGAAAGGGCATGAGCCGGGACAAAATCAAACTTGTAACTTCAATGTATATGAAGAGTACGGTCAAGGTTTTGAAAAATGAGGAGGAAATTGAACGCCCACGGAGGAAAGCTGTTCACCGAGAAGTCAACGACTTGATACCTTTGGTCTCTGCGCTGGCCATCGATGTTCACAAGAATCGAAAGGAACACCTTTCCAAGTATCGTAGCAGGATCAAGGGGATCATTGAGAAGTACAAGTTCCATCTAGCGGGAACTGCAACGGTTGAGCAAGTCGACGATCTTGAGTTTGATCCTGACAGTGTTGGGTGGCAGTACATCTCTGAGGACGATGACGACCCCAAAGGCTTGTGGGGTTAGTTCCAAAGCTAAGACAAAGTCTTGCGAGCGAACAAGATATGAACATATCTATGTAGAGAAGAAAGCTTGTGTGACTTCAACCACAATGGACAACCGCGTCCATAAAGAGGCAATCACGGTGACAGTCATTGACACATTATCAGCATGTGTCTTGCCCGGGCGCTGATCCGAGCTCAAGTGGCCGCGTGCAGGACATTTCCAACGAGCTGTGCCCGCAACAAGATGTGGTACTGGAAGCACAACATGCCGGACCTGCGTTCCCGCATCAAGCAGCATGGTTCTTTGCACCACCCGCGACCCCAACCCATAGAGCCATAAGAGCCATGCATACCGACATTCTTCCAAGAGACTAGATAAGTATCTAGCGGCACGAAGCAAAGCAGACTGAGGGAGGGTCGAATGCCTCCACGATCACTGGGGTTGACGCCCTCCCCGGCCGGGCATTTCCATGTCAAGACGGGAACCCGGGCATGGTCCAGAGGCCTTTGCTTTGATCGAGGTACTAGGGACTGTTTAGCGCCCAACGTCCGTCGCTAAATATGGAGATCCGAACCGAAGACTGTACCATTGGCCGGAGCTCTCGTGGCTCCTCAACAGCTGCAACCGGGCTGTTCTCCGCTAGAACCGAGCGGACCAACACACAGACATCCTCATCTGCCAGGGTAGCTCAAGAGTCGCTTTCGAGTCGCAGACGTCGACATTGTGGCGAGAAACGAGTGCGCTGATCACGATGCTGCAGCGCTTGACGCCCCTCGTCCTATGCAGCATGCCTTGTTCCCAATTGATCAGCTCATGGTCCACTTTGCCTGCCAAAGCCTCGCGAATTAGCGATAACAAGTGCCTAATTGTTGCCTGATGTCGACCCCGCTCGGAACCAACGATAGCTTTATGTCGTGCGCCGAGCCAGTTGGGACACAACGGCGGTTGGTTGTTGTTCTCTGCACAATGCACCAACAACGAGGCAATCGTTTGCAGGTAAATCCACATTAGCTGGCGCACAAGGATGTCTGAGTGGCCAAAATTCCGGGCGTTGCAGGCATGTTGCCATCCCACGCGTTTCCGCTCGCACGTCTAGCATTACACTTCTCTTCCCATCAAAAATTGGTGTCTGGCAAGGCTGTGTCCTGCGCAAACGAGCACATCTGTCGCCTTCATGCGTGTGTCTAGATTCGATATTACTGAACCTGCGCCTCCAACCTATGACAGGATGCAAGAGCTGGGAACATACATAGCGCATGAACGAACCCCGCTTCGCCGGTGGGAACGGGTTCCTCGGCCAACAACCACAGACACCCCATGATCCGGAGGAAGGGAACAAACGTCCAACCGACATCGATTATCCAACAAAACCCTTCCTCATATCAAGGTCAAGAATGACTCTTTGGGTTGCGCTCCACCCCAGGCTTGAGAGATAGATTGATAACACCATCATTACATGACCCCTAATACAGCTAACCGCCTCATAGAAGCAATGGTCATGGGGCATATCAGTGGCTGTCGTTGTTCTTGGGTTACTGCAAGTTCTTCTCCCGCCCTGTTTCTCCCAGGTTGGGTTGGTTGAGGCAGGTAAATAATTTACGACGGGAACAGCACCATGTGTCACAGTCTCATTGGACGATAGTGCGAAGCCGCAGTTATACGACATACTTACATTCCATTTGCCGAGTTTATAATTGGACTGATGGCTCATATTCCCAACCATTCCGTGTGATCCCTCGGAGTACCATGATCAACACCAGTCGTACGGCATTTCTGGTACAATGAGCTCCCGCTGTGTTACATGCAACCGATCTCCCAGCAGCGAAGAGGCTCTTCAACAACACATGCGCGACTCTCCTATTCATAGCCCGTCGTACGACTGTGATATCTGCGATCGTTCCTTTGGTAGCGACGAGGCTCTTCAACAGCACTTACGCAACTCCCCTGTCCACAAGCCTACTTATGACTGCAGCACCTGCGATCGATCTTTTGCCAACGATGAGGCGCTTCAACAGCACTTACGCGACTCTCCTGTTCACAGGCCGTCCTATGACTGTGATACCTGCAATCGATCCTTTGGCAACGATGAAGCTCTTCAGCAGCACCGACGCGACTCACCTGTTCACAGGCCGTCCTATGATTGCGAAAGTTGCAACCGGTCCTTTGGAAATGAAGGGGCTCTTCAACAGCATCTGCGCGACTCTCAAGCTCACAGGTCATCCTATGACTGCGATACCTGCAATCGATCCTTCGGGACGGAAGAGGCTCTTCAACAGCACCTTCGCGACTCTCCTATTCATCAGCAAAGCACGGAAACACCTTTAGACGCATTCTTCCGTTCATACACGGCCTTTGATTACGATCGTTCTCTTCCACCACACATCTCGTATGCCAACTTGCAGAGACATATGGGGTGGTATCGTGAACATCCGGAGTCAGACGAAGCCTGGGAAAAATACCAAGAAGCTCTTGAGGAGGAGTTTGAAATGTGGTTTGGTGCGGAAGACGATTTGGCTGCGTGGCATGCGCTTTGTCGCGCAATTGGGATCAACCCATTGCCGGTTACTATTGAGCAATGCGAAAAGGTCAGTGTCCGTAATCTGATATTGAGTTGGTCTATCTATTCTAACATATATTGTAGGCTGTACGACGGACGCATGTCAACATCGTGGATCTGATCGAAAGCAGGCGGGGAAACAAGGAAGGAGTTCAGACCTTTCCAAACGTCAACAAACTACGCGCCTACACCAAGGAGACGAACAAGATATTCCCCAATAGGTTTCATGGAGAAAATTGCAACGGTGTCTTGAGACACCTGCTTCGGAACATACGTCGCGCGAGCCTTTGAAGAGTCAACGTAGTCTATTTTCACATAGCCAGGTGGAGAGGGGTTTGGATTATCAATACTACTCAATGGAGAGTCCAGACGTAGGTTAACTGCGGATATTCCCTTTGGAGATAGGGGTGAGATGTTCCCCATCCGTTCGTTTATCTGGAGAGTATCTCGAACTTGATTAATGTAAGGAACTGTAGCTAGGATGCATTGAGGTCTAGGATACACTGAGGTATCATTTGTTTGGGCTAGATTGCTCCAAGACCAGCGGTGTTGACAGATCTCACGATGGTCTTACCTCAAAGAAAGAGTTAAGACTTTAACTGTTCTCTGACAGCTCGTACATTGGGAATGCTAGATATGCAGACTCTGTGACATCATGACATGGAAAAGGTTCCAGTCGTGACACGGGCAAAGCCATACGCCGACCGCATGTCCTCATCAAGGAAGAATTCTAGTTCTAGGTCACCTCGTAGACATCATTGATACCCGTCTTCCGAGAGCGTCTTCTGCGATGTTGGTTTTCTTTTTGATCGAATGGACTGTGACTTTATTGAAAAGCTGCTCTTCTCAACCCCACGCAAGGCTTCTCGAGCGAACGCAGACCCCTAGTCAGATGGTGGACCATCTCACTGCATGTACATTGGCACTGAAGTTGGAGGAATGCTGATGCCTCAGTCTTAAAGCAGCAATGCAACTACGAGCCGAGTCCGCCCGGATTAGCACCGCAAAATGCACCTTCTATACTCACTTACGCTTACCCCTGACGGAGCGATCCGCCGGGGCCGTACCATGTGGATGATGCGCTGCTCCAGATGGGTCGCTGGCATGCATCTCAGTGGGGACTCTTGAGCGAAGCTACGGCAAGTTCAGGCGCTGCTTTTCAGTATCTGAGGTGCTTCATCAGTTATTAGTCCAGGCAAAGCATTGGCATACCTCCTCACGAGAACGAAGATGTCAAGCAGGCCTGCTTCTCTCGACGGGCTCTCTCCTACGCGCAACATTATTTTAACTTCCCGGTTGCGGCTAAATAGTCTTTGATGGGGACAGCCTCAAATTCAAGAGACTTTGGCAGACCAACAAAGTGTGCCGTAGTCGTGAAGGCACGTTGCTGAGTTACGATCGGTAAAATACCAAAGGAAATCTGCTCCCCAAGGGGCATGACGAGCTCCTGGACTGCTCACGCGCAAATCAGGAGAGCTGTTCCCTATGACTTCCAATCTTTGATTGCGGCTCAACTCTAGGAAGCCGGAAGTTTCTTCGTGAGTTGCTAGCTGGCCAAAATAGCGAGCAGACAATGCTTGCAAATAGGGGAGATGACTTGTGGTATTAAGTAGTGAAAGCAACCAGGCAACCGGACTGAACAAGTAACCAGAACTGAGTTAAGCTGTTATCGACTGAGCTGTTGATAGACAGATCGATGTAAAATGAGATGAACATAGCTGGGAAACCTGAACGAGTGTGCTGGCTACTAATACTTGCACGAGGATCGCTACTACATTGTGCACATAAGTCTGATTCGAATGTACCTGGCTGCGTTTTGTGCCGGAATTGGTCTGCCCATCAGAAAGCTCCATGTACATTTATGCAGAGGAATACATGTATCTTTGCTCAAGTTCTGTAGTACTTGCTAGACCTTTCACAGTTGAATATCCAGGGTCGGGATGTAGGATATGTGGCACAATGTCTTATCAGAATTTTGGTCTTTGGAATACGAAAAACATGAGTTCTCTGTATGACGACAAGTTATATCGACGGTGGTGTAGCCTATCCACCTCTCCAATTTGTAGTTGAACTTCACGTCAAACTTCATTCGAAAGTTCCCACAATGTAATCTGCAATGGGCTATTGAACGGTGGGATTAGCGTATATGAGACACTCACAAAAAACCAGGCAGATTTCCAGGGGACTGGTGGCGTTATGTTGGATCAACGCGTCAAATTCACGATCAGACTGTACTTTGGGCGCTCAAGTTTAGGAGAAAAGGAGGCCTTGATATTCAAGATTAAACAAGGCACAAGACTGCAGAGATTGGGAATAGACAACTGCCAGAACAAGATCACCTATATTTCAAAGCAAAGCCTCAACCTCTGGGTTGCTAATGTGACAAAGAGAAAGGACTTGATGCGCGTGCGCTCAGTTGAGGGGGCGATTGGGGATGACCTGATACTTCCATGTTAAAACAAGATTCTTCCTTGGGATTAAAGTGGTCTTGCTACGAAGCAAAGCAACCTGGAGACGATTGAGTGGCAAGAGCCCTCGGTAGGGAAAAGAATAACGATCACTGTAAATTCAATTCTCATTCGAGCTTATCACCCACGATCATAATATGCCTCCAGGTTCAACATTGGATTTGCTCATTGCCTCAATGAGATGAAATCATATGATCATCAGTCAACTAAACGATGTGTGCGGGCTCAGCACCACAATAGCTTTCGCAGGTGAGAGGATTGTCAACGAATAAAGGTTTACCCCCAGAACTCTCCCCCGCAAATTTGAGGCGGCCGCTTCTTCCGAGTAGCTGAGCTTTCTCTTGCTTTTTGCTACCTTGAGGGGTCCAGAAGCAATTGTTCGACGCGAATGCTGCTTCTCAGGCATGGTCCTGAAGTTGCTAGAGTGGTCCAGATAGATACTTTCCAGCTCCAGTTCCAGCTGAGGATCTAAGATGTCAAGACTGAAGTCGTAGATCGATTCCAACGCTCAATCAATTGAGACAAAGTCTAGCAAACAGGTTATCGCTGAGATGGTGCCGGCTGATTTAGGTACTTGGGTGATTCGCTTTCCTCAATGTCTTCGCCTATACTATCCTCCGAGACTGTCCCTTCATTCACCGCAAAATACTGGGTAAGAGTCGTTTCTGGCGAATTACCGTTGCCGCCAGCTTCGTTTCTAATCTTTTGCCGTCTTCTATCTCAAGAATGGACCATTACTCGGCCAGTTAGTGGACGTGTCTGAGGTAGTATCGCAACGCGTCTGAACTTGCGACGTGTTCTGTGAACTGGCCATGATTGTATCTGATCAACGTAATCTTGAAACTGCAGCTGGAACTTGGTCTTTAAGTCAAACTTGTTTACGTCTCTGTGGTGCCGCGTCGGCGTATCAATGATATTCTTTGAGAGCGATATTGTTGCAAGTGGCCTGATCGTAGGCCCTTACTTTCAGCTTGGTATGAAAGTTGTCGCAATTTTGCTAATACCCATCAATGCGCTTATGATGAACCAAATTCTTGCGGAGTCATGATCCGTCTTGGAACTTCAGTTCCTCTCGGAGGTTAGAATGTAGGATTGATAGCAACCATGGCTGGAACTAAGACCCGAGGTTCCGATGATGAGCAAGGGATTGTGAATACTTTGAAGAGCGATGTCGACGCCGGCGGTCCTGCAGTGGAGCTCTAGATTCGGGTGTGGCTGAGTCTATGAGGAGTAGACCGTGTTCGGGGTGTGCCTCTCAACGCAGTAACTTTCACCCGAGACTCGGTAATATGCTAAACCAACTCGGTCGAGCCATTCTCCCATCCATAGTGCTGCCAACTTTTCCATGACGGCAATCTCGGGTTCAAGCTTCTCAAATCGCCAAACGCCAAGGCTCAGGTGATCGACCCGCTGGTGAGCAAATCGCTTGATTGGAGTTCGGAAATGGTAAGGCTGGGGAGATACCGGGAAAACAAAGCGGGACGCCAAATTGCACGTGGCAGGACAAACCCCAAACTCTGAAAGGTGGCACTAGAGGGATATTGTGACTATGAACTACAGCAAGGTCTAGTTTGGCGGTTTTGTTGAGAACCGAAGGCCGATGCTATTGCTGGGCTGCAGCTGTCTCTTGAAGAAATTGTCCAAGCTAGATACATTGCGCAGGCTCTCGGGTCTTAGAAAAGGCCGATGACTTTACCAAATGTCTCCCAAATTTGTGCAGATGCCATAATCTGGCTTGTATAGAAAGCTTCGTTCGGCGACTACTCCCATTTACAAAAAGCAAGGACATCAAGATCTTTGTCTCTTTCATTCCAATAGAATTCTGATTTATTACGAAAACAGTGGGAATCTCGTGCATTGAAAATATGGGCGCCGCGTCGCTGCGATTGGTTTTATGCATCCTGGCATGTCTTGGAACGCGGGTTCTTGGACATTATTTCCGACCGGAGACCGGCGGCCTTTTCCTGAATCTGGCTGTGAGTTGACCTGGAATCCGTATTGGTCTGGAGCTGACATTACTTCGAAGGATACTTTGCCTACATTTGACATCTTGGGATCCCAGACCGAGGGCGATGCCCCAACTGGCGGCTCCTTCTGGGCATCCGTTTTTGCGCATGCGTCTGATGGTCACGATTATCTCGTTATTTCCCATTCAGTCATGGGGCTACCGAATGAAACGACCATGTATCGAGGATCAATCATTGATATCACTGATTCGTCCCGCCATGCTCAGTTCACCGTCGTCTCGCCCGTTCCCAGCGTCTGGGCAGACAACGGGGACTACAATGCCAGCTATCCAGACTTTGAGTTTGCCTCCCTCAATCAAAGCTTTATGCGAACTCTTAGTAGATATGATGGAGCAGAGTTCGACATCACGTTCGAGTTGTCCGCGCCCGCCCTTCTTTACGGTGGTCTAGGTATCTTCCAGGTCGGCAATTATTCGACATATGATTGGGTCATGCCATCGGGAAGAACGAACGGATGGGTGTCTCTCGGTGGAGTCAATGTTACCATTGACCCGGAGAAGTCTCTGACCTGGTATGACAGGCAATGGGGCAAAGCACCTCAGTGGTGGACCTGGTTCCAGTTACATGTTCCAAACGAGGAACCAGGATGCCCAGATACTCTCTATTCAATCTTGGTGTGGGACAGCACCCCGGATGGTACGGGGGCATTCGCAACCGTCAAACTCGGTGCTTCGACACAGACCATCTCTGTTCAGTCTATAATCCCCGGACACAGGAACTGGACTTCACCCTATACTGGATATGCATACGCCATGAATTGGTATGTGAAGTTGGCCGATGGGACAGAATTCGATATTTCCACTATCAGAGACGATCAAGAATTGCACAGTGATGGCGGTGGCGCTTTTGCAACTTACGAGGGACTTGTCACAGCAAAAGGCAACTCAAGGAATGGAAGGAGAATCGGTGGATATGGTGTCATTGAGATGCAAGCCCCGAGTCGTCCTAGTTTCTAGCGCAATCTCTGATGTATCAATGCACAGAAGATGTCAGATAACGATGCTATGGTGACTGTAGCTTACCACAATATGAAGAGCATGATTTGGAGGCGGCCATGGCATTTCCTGGATATCAATGCGATGGGGCGGTGTTCTGTTTCTCTTCCCAACACATAGACGCAAGTTGGTTATCATGGATGGTCAGACAAGAACGGATTAACTGATTAGACTAACAACATCTTTCCTCGCCACGTGAAACATGATCTCAAACCACCGACCATTAATAACTTGGATCAAAACCTCTGCCACCAACCGACCAAAATCATGACAAAAACATCAGCAACAAACCAGATCTTTCGCATGCCACACTCGCATCTCGACTAGAACAATATGCTTGATTTGTTGGCGCGCCGCTTGCCGCGATAGTTGGTGAACGATCTCAGGGCCCTTCCGGATACAGGTTAGTTGGGGATGAAAGGAGGGGTCTTAGCAATAAAGGAGCAGCTCGGATATATACTCCTCATAGGGAGTACACGTCTATGCAGGGGAAGATTTCAGTAATTCATCTCTTTGACCCTAAAAGCAGTTGGCCTCTGTGAGCTTCCTCCCTACGTCGTACGCCTATTGCCAAACGACTCGACCTTAGTACGCATACGAAGAGCAAGACGCAGAGGGAGTGAAGAGGAGGAGGAGGAGGAGGAGGAGGAGGAGGAGGAGGAGGAGAGATTGCAATCGTCTCTAGCACCGAGGCAAAAGTATTAGTATCCCTATCACAGGGTACTTAGTTCCCATCCGGTTCTGTGGGTGACAAAGGATGAAACGCTGTCCATGAATTGATTCTGCGTAACAATATAAAAGGAATATTCTAATCGCAGGTTGGAGGGGCAATTGATATCGCGTCGTGGGTCGAACCGGCCTCTGCGCTGCCCTTGACTCGCAGTCGAATTTGGACTTCGATGCCGAGAAACAGACAGTCATTCAACCCGCACTCAGCCACAACAGCGCCTCAGCCACAACAGCGCCTCAGCCTTTGGAGTGCATGAGATACCGGAGATGACTTTCGAAACGGAAGCTCCAGCCGCTCCGTCCTGCTTTCGGATTCACGTCGCGTCCTGATCGCAGTGCTCGGCTCACGCGTGCCTTATTCGAGCGCACCGAGCATCCCCGCCGCTTCAGCAAGTCGCACCGCGATTCAGATCAGACTGAGATCGTTATATTTCCCCTGCCGAAGGTAGCCTCAGACGAAGAACGTGTCAACGCATACGTCCGTCACTACGAACGGGAGGGTTCGAAGTCGTCCGTCTGGTCATGGCCGACAAAGCTAAGACAGTCTTGCGGTCCTGTTAGATTCTCGGCAGTCGGCAGGCAAGGTGAGCTTGGAAGGAGGTCTGGGCCATACAAACGGCTCTTCCACTTACATGCCACCTCTGAGACATCATGGGCTCTGCCCGTTTTCTCCAGGTTCCACCTCCATACGCAGCTACAAACACTACCTACCTCTTCCAGTTGCCGAAGGGTTGCCCTGCTGAGGTGTTCACCAACAGATCCCTTCCTGAGAGCTTCATGGATGATAATTACTCTTGCTTGACCTCAGCTAGCAACAAGTTGAAGGCGGATGGCTACGGTGACGATGTTGAGGTGGCATCTCATGGGAGCCATCGTTCGCTGACCTGGAGAAGGCCGCCGCTTCCATAATAAGAGTTTGGCTATCCGGTGGAGCACCCACTTCCCTGTCCAATGAGAGCCCGCAGCCACAGCCGCGCATGCACACGGGCCACACGTATCCGCCGTAATGCAGCACTTACGTAAGGCGGACAGCCACATGGCTGATCAATTGCCCGTATGCTTGACCATTCAATTGCTCCTTCAAGTTTCCATCCATTGGCCTAATTAGTTACCTCTGATACGGTCCATATGGCAAGCGCGGTTGTGGGCGATCGCGACTGTTCGCAATTGCCGTATGTGGCTTGGGTAGGCTGGCGTCTGTGGCAGGCGGCCCCTGCATCACACTGCCGAGCTTCTTCCGGTTGGCTGGAAAAATGGGCCATTACCCAGAGAACAAAACTCCGTGACAATGGAGGCAAGCCGGGCCCAGAGTCTGATGGCGATAAAGTACAGATTTAATGGTCAGGCCAGGTCAGATCAGGTAATATGAGGTAAGAGATGTAAGGTTGGTATGGTCGGTAAGGTGAGGTAAGAAGGGGGTCGCTGGTTTGGCCGTGACAACTTTCTCTTGATCAGGCAGGTGGCTCCCTGTAGGCTGAAGTCATCAAATCGGGTTACACCGCTCAACAATGTGTCCACTGACGCCGAGAAAGTAGTTTTGAGGATATCGTTCCAGACCCAGAGCGGACAAGATGGAAGCAAAGCTACTTTTCCAACTATATGCGATAGGTGGTAGACCATTCAAAGGTTGCCTGCCCCATTCGCCGTCATATTCAATTGACCCGTGATGCCATGAACAGATTAGCCGTTGACTGAGCCTTCCCGTGGAATTGAGCCACTGCAGCAGCACCTCAGCACCCGGAAGTCAGACTTCTATTGAGCAGGGTCAGTACAGTAGTCGGATTAACACATTGGTGCATGCCATGGACGTCAAGCAGCCTGTTTTTGACAAGGTATATCATTTCCGCCACGGCATGATTTAGATATAAACGCTTGCCATTTTCGTCTCGACCCCAGCCAAGGCCTTATCGGCGAAGTGTGCGTACGAGGCGCGCAACGAGAGATGGCCGGCGTCGTTGTTCACAGAAGCTCCATGTCGCGCCTGCTAACCCCCGGGGGCGATAAACCGCCGGTCGGATCATCAAAATACAGAGTCAATCCAGGTGCAAACACACACATATCTGTTCCAAATGGAATTGGTTTTGGTATACTTTAGTCCTGTCACCGAACCAGGCGGCACAAATTCGAAGTCGGTGAAGATAGCCATCATGTGCCGGATCAATGGCTCTCTAGCGTACCAGGGCGACTGCCCCAAGGTGAGGTTGGAGTCGGTGATCTCTCTCCTTGATGGAACTGTCTTCTTTCTGATTCTTCGAACGACCAAATCTCAACACGAAAGCATCAGGCACGGCAATTTACATAGGGCTTTGCTCGCTCATATTAGTGCCTGAAGCCCTACCGAGCCAGTTGCGAGATTTCCACGGCATCTATGGCTCGTACGGTAGTTTGGCTCGAACCCGTTTCCTTCGACCGCCGCATCTCATTCGGCTCTGGCCACCAGATGAGTATTGTCATTGCACTGGGGCTCGGTCTTGATGGCGGTAATATAATCGAGGATCCAACGGCCTTCTCATTTGCTCTCGGCGTCTGAACAGGGCGCATCCGGCTGAAAGTCAAGAGTCATCCCACCGGTGTTCAAGTCTATCTCAAGTGTCGTTTTCAAGGTCCAAGAGAACAGCGACTGTGATGCGTCATTGTGGGATCGAGGGGAAAGGTCGGAGATATCCAAAGAGGCGCCAGGCGTGCCGGACTCGTTGCTCAGCGTGGGACATGCGGCAGAGTCCACGAGTACTATTGCCACGGATTTTCTCTGTTGGATGTAAATAGGTGGAAGGGTCGTCCGCATGGGCCTAGACCGGCCACCTTCCGAATACCCTTTCCTGCCTTCAATGTTCCAACACTGGCAGTGTCTGACAATATGGGCGGAAGAGTGTGGAATTGGGCTGACTTCGCGCCCCCGTGCGGCCGTCGAATTCAGTGACATCCCCTGGCCTGGATTACCAAAACCCAATCGCAGAAATTGGGCATAGCTTCTGCTGTATTGACCTTACCAAAATTCGAAAATGCCATTGTCCTGATCTTGCCCAAATTATCTCCATCCTCCACCTTGTATGTTTCCATTGCCCAAAATCTTCGGAAGTCGAGGAATCCATCGTAGTTGGAGCTTTCTGTCGGTCTGGCTGCGCCCCGAATACGTGCGTTTCTCTCTAAGCCGAAACCTGCGAGGCGTATACGTCGCTTGGGCGACCTACCACCTGCGTTATGCTGCTATATGAAGCACGCATATGAGTGGCTCTGTGGCTCTGTGGCTCTTGACTTGCCCTTGCCGTCGAGGTGGTTTATGGAGGTAATTTGCCATCGAAGTAGCTAGAGGAAGTGCCGTCGAGGCGTCTAAAGGAGGTCACTCGCTGTGGAAGTGGCCAGGGGGTTGCCGTCGAACTGGCTGGAGGTGGAGTTGACGGAAGGCAGTGCTGAAAGGCCATTGAGATGGCTGCAGTAGATGGAAGCGGCTCGATGAAAGTGCTGGTGAAAGCTGGCCCGCCGTCGAAGGAACCCAATACAGAGATGCCGTCTTAGCCTATCCTTCCTCCCTCAACCACCACATACGACCATACCCATTGGAAAATTCGGGATCCCGTCCGCTCTCCCATAGACAAGCCAATGAGGGCCGGATTAGTAGTTGGGTCGGTGACGACCAGCGAATACCTGGTGTTGTATGTTTTTGGTTTTGCTCGTTTATCGCACCAGATGACTACCTTAGTCTTTTGCGAACTCCTGCATGAGCCTCTTCATTTTTTTCTTCTTCAGGGCACACTCCTCCAATACGTACATCACGGTCTGAGATGGAAGCTAGGCAACAACACTCCACACGCAACAGCGCAATACATATGGTTAGGATCTAGTTACTAGGCACCGTGCCCAGGGAATCATTAGTACTTGAAGTGTATGATGTAGTTGCCATGAGTAGAAGGTTGTGGCCCAGGCCCTAACAAATACAGAAGTACGTGACCGCTGGTAGGCAAGTGAGCTTGATCGCCTGTGGCGGGTATAACAGTGAGGATGTAGGATTGAAAGTTCCTCATAAGAGCTCTGATTAGCTATAGAACTGGACTGTTGCCCCAACAGCTAAATGATACTGCTTAATGTGCCCTAATGTCATATGGCATTACGCAGTGGATCTCGAATCGTAACGGATCTTGAATGACAAGAAATTTCCACTTTCTTCTGGAATGTCGTTCCAGCTTCGGTAGGGACTTCTCAGCAAGTTCGTGAGCGTTCTGCGTGGTTCTATT